TTACTAAAGTATATTTATTACGAAAGATTGTTTCCAATTTGAATATAGAAAGTGATGGCATGGAAGTCAAGAGAAGACTTGATTTATTAGAAGAAATATTAAATTACAGGGTTAAATTGAAAACCTGAAGCGGACAATTGCATTCATAGCACTTGCAAACCTAGCAATAGTGTGATTTTAGTTTACTATTTCTTTTATTCAATAGTTATTAGAAATACAGAAAAACTTTGTGTGAGTGAATTGTTTCATTTTAATGGATCTATAACTTTTGGGAAGACAGTTTTTATGTAAAATTAAATATGTCAGAAATATAAGCAATCAAATATGAATTTTATGGAAAAAATGGTTGTTTTTTAATCTTTGAGGCTCTTGGGGCGCCATTTTCACTTATCCAACTGAACTAAAATTTTACACAGATTATATTTTTAGTAAAATTAACCGAAAAACAATCAAAATTTGAAAACTGTGTGTTTCTTCAAATTGTGATATTATGTAATAAATCTGTTTTAAAAAAATTTACAATAATTAATTGAATTTCAAGAACAAATAAGCGTAAAAGTTTACATAGCACGAGTGTTTATAAGTTAATTTTTGGAGTAATTATATCAAATGATTATGACATTAATATCTAATTTAGTACCATAAAAATATTAGAATAATTTATTATAATATTAATTATACATAAAATAAATATACAAAGTTACACAATCGAATCATAATTATATGGTTAATGTGATTTAAATTATAAACATTATTAACATTATTGGATATTCTGCGTCTTCTATAGTAAATTGAAGCGTCTGTTCAGCTAAATCTTGAGTATGGATGTCGAATATTTTCTTGTCAAAAAATTGGATACTCTTCAAGTTTCTTGTTGTATTATCCTTAATCTCCTTAAGTTCATGTTTAAGAAGAGGGACTCGACTTGGGTTGGGTAGATACTGGATGAACAAGCTTTGCTCACAGCTGGACACTATAATTGCATACAGGCTTAGTTAAAATGTTGTGAAAAGTGCTTTGTAGTCGAAACATTAATTCGATTTCTTGTAAGATAAACACGGAATTTTTTCTGATATTACCTTCATTTGAGCTCATTTAATCACAATATATTTACGAAAATAACGTATTTTAGAATGGTTGCACCATTTAAGATGACTGAAGGACACCTGTAAAGTAAATGTAACGTACGTTTACTTACTTGCATTTACGCAGATTTGCCAGTTTGTTTATCATGATTCTATGAGGGATTTTATGTAGGATTTTTATGAGGTTCTAATTTTCAACAGGAAGGAAAGTACCCATACCGCAGAACTCCCTTTAATAAATTGGCCAAAACATTAACAGCTATCTGCAGAAGATCAATAAGTTTTCGCTGCTACGAAGTCATACACTGAAGTTTCTTTAAAATTCAACTAGGTATCGGCAGTTCACTGGATTTTATTTTAAATTTGATACATTCATATGTATTCATTAAAAGTAACAATTTTAGCTCGGTCCAGCCGAAGTTCGGCTGAAAAACGTTAATGAAATGACATTTAAATATATTAACTTTTTCTACATTGGTTTTAGCCCACTATTCATTTGACAGTTTTAATGGAGGCTGATATTCTGATCTCCACTATAACTTATATGTACTAATAATATTTTCATATAACCTTGTAATTCAAATTGTAAGTTCCTTTTAGGAGCAAAGTATTTGGATTTGAGCATTGGCGATCTAAGTCTGTGTCATATTCGTTTTAAAGATCTTCTCCTTTTTATTTAATTTAATTGGTAAAAATTGAAAACAATTATTAATTTTTGAAACATATATTCGAAGCAACAGTTTATAATTTCATCATATCTACACTAGCATTATAATTCAATTTATATTTTTTATCAAAGTTTAATATCAATTAAAGTTAAGTACAATAATTTTTTTTACACAAAAATTTTGTCAAAATACTTATGCCATGCAAAAATTCGTTGTCTGCATGCATTCTTAACAGCACAAAGAAAATGCTAAAGTAGATATGATGAAATTATAAAATGTTACTTCAAATATATGTTTCAAAAATTAATAATTACTTTCAGTTTTTACCAATTCAATTAAATAAAAAGGAGAAAATTAGTAGAAAACATGGGCAAATTGGCTTAGTTGGGTTTGGTTATCAGATCTTCAATGGTAGCAAAGTTTAACGCTAGAACGGCAGTGAAACATATAACAAAGGCGTTTAATATTTCGCGACAAAGTACTTAATATCAAATTAATAAGTTTAAAAAGCATAATAACATAATAAACTTAAGGAAATCAGGTGATAAACATAAAACAAATTCCATTGAAGACCGAGTCCTCCTAAGGAAATTCAAAAAAAATTTTTTCTAAAGCTTCAATCTGCAGCAGATAAATAGAATTTGGCGGCCAAGACTCCAATTAGTGACCGCACTGTCCGACAAAATTTAACGGAAGGAGATTTTAAGTCAATAAAATCTAAGGACGTGCCGTACATATAAATGGCAATCAAGCTTAAAAGACAGGCCTTTGCTAAGGAACATTTGCACAAGCCAAAAGAGTTTTGGACAGATGAAAGCTCTTTTGAGTATAACTTATCAAAAACGCATTTTTGGGAAGACTTCCAAAATGCAAAAGCAAATAAGACGTCCCATTTTTTAAAAGTGAACCATCGTGGGGATTCTATCATATTCTGAGGGTGTGTTGCATATAATGGGCTGGGTGACTTAGTTCTTATCGCCGGCACAATGAACCAAGGTCTATATTTAACTACTCTAAACGATTATGCGTTTCCTTTCGGAGATAGAATTATTAGAGAATCACATTTCCTGCAACAGGATAATGCTCCTTGCCACAAAGCCCGGAGGATAAATAATTTTTTGAAGGATTGGTGTTACCGCTCCAATCTCGCCACTTCAAACTCCAGATTTATATATAAAAGAAAACGTCTGGTCTGGTCTGAGAGGACACAATTTCTGAGATCACTTCCATTTGGAAAGACATGTCTCTAGAGATTCTTCAAAATTTAGTGTTTTCAGTACCGAGACGCCTTCAAAAAGTTATTGAAGCCAAAGGAGGTTATACATTTTACTAAATTCTTTTTACTTTCTTTGCTTTTGTTAAGTTTAAGCTTTGTTATCTTAGTATTATATACTTATCAAAATACTTATGCCAACATAGGTATGAAATTACTGTTTAATCTTTTTAATCTTTTTAAGTTTTTATGAAAAAATATTTGTTTGGTTGTTTTTATGTTTGTATTAGTTATAAATAAAAAGGAAAAACAAATAAGAGTTCTTTATAAAACCATTTCAAAGTTAATCTCAAAAATGCACGATTTTTATTTTGTCAAAATACTTATACTGACTACTGACTAGTGTAGATATAGAAAGCAATCTAAACAGCCCCCTGCAGCAATTTATGTATGAACCAAGTACATAAATTAAACATTATAAATTTAAAAAAATTTCAAATACTAACTTTTGTCACAAGGAAAGAAGTATTCTGTCCGTAAGTTTGCACCATGTAAAACTTATGAAAAACGTTTAAAAAAACTGAAAAGGTTTCACATACAACACATATAAACATACTTCTAAAATACTTATGAACATACTTCTAAACGTACTTTTGCAGGGAGCATAAGTATTTTATAAAAATTATATTTAAACCATTAAAAATATTTATAAATTTTATTCATTGCTATTATTTTCTCAATTTGGATATTTATCATGCTTCATTTGTATACACATGTGTGTACATTTAAAATACAAATTTTTTAGAAAAATTATAATTTTAATA